TCACACCATATACCAAAATAAAGTCAAAATGGGTTCATGATTTAGATATAAAAGCTGATACTATAAGCAAACTGGGAGAGCAAGGAATAGTTTACCTGTCAGATCTATGGAGAACAGAAGAATTCATGACCAGACAGGAGATACAGAACACTACGAAAAGCAAAATAGACAATTTTGATTACATTAAATTGAAAAGATTTTGCACAAACAAAGTCAATACAACTAAGATTAGAAGGAGGGTAGAAAATTGGGAAAGAAGTTTTACAACCAGTCTCTCTGATAAGGACCTCATTTCTAAAATATATAAAGAATTAAGTCAAATTTATAAGAATTCAAGCCATGCCCCGATTGAAAAGTGGTCAAAGGATATGAACAGACAGTTCTCAGATGAAGAAATTAAAGCCATCTATAGTTATAAGAAAAAATGCTCTAAATCACTATTGATTAGAGAAATGCAAATCAAAACAACTCTGAGGTACCACATCACACCTATCAGAATGGCCAACATGACAAAACAGGAAAATGACAAATGTTGGAGAAAATGTGGGAAAATCAGAACACTAATGCATTGTTGGTGGAGTTGTGAAATGATCCAACCATTTTGGAGAACAATTTGGAACTATACCCAAAGGGCTACAAAAATGTGCATACCTTTTGACCCAGCAATAGCACTTCTAGGGCTATATCCCAAAGAGATCACACAAATGGGAAAAGGACCCACATGTACAAAAATATTCATAGCAGCTCTTTTTGTGGTGGCAAAGAATTGGAAATTGAGGGGATGTCCATCATTTGGGGAATGGCTGAGCAAGTTGTGGTATATGAATATGATGGAATACTATTGTGCTATAAGAAATGATGAACAGGCTGACTTCAGAAAAACCTGGAAAGACTTGTAAGGTCTGATGCTGAGTGAAGTGAGCAGAATCAATAGAATGTTGTACACAATAACAGCCATGTTGTGTGAGGAATAATATTGATAAACTTAACCCTTCCTGGCAATACAAGGATCTAAGACATCTTCAGAGGCTTTGTGATGGAAAATGCTATCCACATCCAAAGAAAGAACTATGAAAGTCGAATTGCTATTTTTTTTCTCTTCTGTTGAGTTTTGTTTCGTCTTTCTGATGATTCCTCCTACTGGTTTTAATTTTTACTTACATCACTAATGTGAAAATATGTTTAATATGAATGTAAATGTATAGTCTATATCAGATTGTGCACTGTCTTGGGGAGGGTGGTGGGGAGGAAGGGGGAGAAAAATTTTAAACTCGAAAGCATATGGAAATGATTATTGATAAATCAAAGTAAATTAATAAAAAAGTTAAGTTTGATTGTCTCCCTTGTTCCATTTTAAAAAAGGACATAGACTTTTTTATTCTTTTTTTAAGTTAAAAATTTTGTCCTTTCTCCTCCCCCCACACATTGAGAAGGAAAGAAAAACAAAACCCACTACAAATATGTATAATCATGCAAAAGAAGTTTTCACACTAGGAGAGAGACAGAAACAAGGATAGAGACAAAGAGCTAGCCAGAGAGAGAGATACTTCAGTCTCCATCTATTGATTATCTATTTGGAAATGCATAGCATGTTTCATTAGGAGTCCTTTGGAATTGTGGCAGATCATTGTGATGATCAGAATTAACTGTCTTTCAAAGTTAACAATACTGTAATATAACATCTTAACAATATTGCTGTTACTGTGTAAATAAATTGTTCTCTTGAAATCTGCTCATTTCACTTTATATCAGTTCATTCAAGTCTTTCTAGGTTTTTCTGAAACCATTCCCTTCATTGTTTCTTAGAGCACAATAGTATTCCATCACATTCATATGCCATGATTTATTTAGCCATTTCACAGTTAATAGGCTTCCCCACAATTTCCAATTCTTTGCCACCACAAAAAGAACTGCTGTAAATATTTTTGTACACATGGGCCCTTTTTCTTCCTCTGATCTCTTTGGGATATAGACCTTATAGTAGTATCACTGGGTCAAAAGGTAAGTATAGTTTAATAGCTTTGGGGGCATAGTTTCAAACTGCTTTCCAGAATAGCCATACCAATTCAAAGCCCCATCAGCATTGAATTAATGAGCCTCTTTTCCCATATCCTCTCCCACATCTGTCATTTTCCTTTTTTCCCTCCTTACCCCATCTGATGGATATGAAGTGATCCCTCAGAGCTGTTTTAATTTGCATTTCTGTACTAGCGATTTAGAGAATTTTTCACATGGCTATTGATAGTTTAGGTCCTTTTCCTCTGAAAATGATCTACTCATGTTCTTTGACCATTTAACAATTGGAGAATGCCTCTTATTGTAAATTTGACTCAGTTTCTTTTATATCTTAGAAATTGGACCTTTATCAGAGAAACTTCCTGTGAAGATTTTTACTCAGTTTCCTGCTTGTCTTCTAATTTTAACCACATTGGTTTTGTTTGTGCAAAAGCTTTTTAATTTTACGCAATCAAAATTGTCCATTATACCTTCCCTAAAACCTTCTATCTCTTGTTTGGCCACAAACTTTTCCACTTATACCCTTACTCCATTTCAAAGGAAAATTTATACTTTTGTTTTTCTTCTTTTCCTAAAGGGAAAAGTTGGGGGGGGGGGAGGATTTAGGCTAGAGAAATAGCATTTCTTAATTTTTCTAGGGAAACAAAAAAATGTGATTTGTAAATTTGCTTCTTCATGTAGAAAGAGTGACTCACTTCTTTGAGACTGCAAGATGACTGAAGACTTGTCACCATGCTGCTCTTTCTAGGTCTGCTGCCTGCTGGGTGCTCTACTGGACCACACCAGTCCATACTGAGCTTGTGTTAATGGCTGCTTCTATAGTCTACCTTAAGCTGTTCCTGGGCTAACAGTTGTCCAGGTGACTTTTGCTGGTGCAGTACTCTACTGGTCTCGTGGTTCCTCTGTTGGTCCTATTTCACCCCTAATGGTTCCAATGCTCCAGTCATCCCTGAGTTTTAACTGAGTGATGTTCTGAGAACTGCTTAGCAAGTAGTCTCTAATGGGCATTTCTCTCTGCTACTAACTACTGCTATTATGTCTTCAGAGATACTCAAGCCTTCTCAGTTCAGACAGCTAGGTATGGTGGCTAGAAACTTTTCCTGAACAGGATAGGCTATACATAGATGTGTATACATACTCATGGCACTTATGTGATGAATGCATAACACAGTATACACATGTATCTGTGTGTATATGTATTTATGTGCATATAGGTATATATGAACCAACTTGGAAAACACATCAAAGAGAGAAAATGTAAAAATTATTGGACTACATGAAAGTTGGTGGTACAATGGTTAGAGCACTGGGTCTGGAGTCAGGCAGATCTGAATTCAAATATTGCCTCAAATACTTACTCCCCTGGGCAAGTCACTTAACCTCTGTTGGACTCAATTTCTTCATCTCTGAAATGGGAATAATAAAAACAACTACCTACCAGAGTTGTGAAAATCAATTGAGATAACACTTGTAGTTGCTTTGTAAACCTTAAAGCACTATATAAATGCTAGATATTATTTTTAACAGCCTTTTCTAAGAGTTGGTGAATATATTCTTTTCATTTTGACCAGATGAGAGTGAAAAGAAACTTGAGTTTCCATTTATTCTTACATATATGCACCCTCCCTTTAGCCCCCTCAAAAGTACTCAGGCCCAGGATACAGAGCAAGTGTTGTATGGTAGTTGAAAAAGTTGTGTCTGATTCTTTATGACCCCATTTGAGTTTTGTTTTGTTTTGTTTTGTTTTGCAAAAATACTGGAGTGGTCTGTCATTTTCTTCTCTAGCTCATTTTACAGATGAGGAAACTGAGGCAAACAGGGTTAAATGACTTGCCCAGGGCCACAGAGTTACCAAGCCTCTGAGGCCAGATTTGAATTTCCTGGCTCCAGGCGTGGTGGGCTGTGCCACCTAGCTGTCCTACTGTGGAGTAGAAAGAGGCCTAAAACCTGGGTTTGTGCTGCCAGAAAACCACAACAAACTTTTAAGTTTCCCTGTATTATTAACATTTTCTCCAACACTTTCTTAAGTCTAGGCAACCAAGTAAGCAAAAAAGAAATAAAAAGGTCTCTTTTGTAATGTTTGGCGATTTTTATACTCACTGGAAATTCAAGTCAGCTCTCTGGATCATTCTGGCTGTCTGCACCACATTACTGGTTCTAGCTAAAATCAGACATCCTGGGTTTGAATCCTGACTGTGCTCCTTACTCCTTTTCAGACCTTGAATGAGTCACTTAGCCTATAGAGGACTCAGTTTTCTCCTTTGTAAATTAGGGTGTTGCACTAGATCAGGGTTTCTTAACCTTTTTTCTTTCATGGAACTCTTAAGCAGACTGTTAAAACCTACGGACTCCTTCACAGAATAAGGTTTTTACAAACATAAAATACAAAGGATTACAGAGAAGGCCAATTATGTTGAAATAGTTACCAAAAATATATATTTTTCAAAACACCAAGCTTAGACCCCAGGGAAGTTTATCCACGGAACTGCAGTCTTTAGACACTAGGTCAAGAACTCCTAAAATAAATGACCTTGAAATTCTCTTCCAATTTTTAAATTTAAGCTAGATCCTATGAAGCACGAGGTTTTGAAATGAGAGGTGATCTGGATACCGTAACTCTGATGTCATTCGAGGGGTAACTATTTCTTAGCTGATAAGGAATTCAGAATACGCCTGGATGTCTTTTGAAAAAGAGAGAAAAAACAAATAGGTGCTTTTCCTCTCTTCAAGTTTTCTGGAAATGTTACAGCCCTACATCTGACACCCTTCCCCCGCCGCCCCAAAAATGAAGTGGGAGCTAATATAAATTCCCAAGCCCCCTCCCTGTCGCCCCAGTTAAGAGAACTAGAAGCCCCAAGTAGAGCTGGGGGCTGAGGTTGGTCCAAGCGGAACAGTCTTCTTTGCCTCCACCCCAGCCCCTCCCCGCTCTCTGAGGCTAGGAATAGGGAAGGCTCTTCAGAGAAGCGAAACTGAAAGTTTGAATGTTACCTCTGAAGAGAGGTGGGGGTAGGGAGCTGACAGTACCATTTGCCTTCCTCCCTGCTTGCCAGTTACCCCTCCAGAGCCCACCGAACAAACGCCGCAGCCCCCGCTCCTCGGCTAACGAGTCAAGAACCCGCTCATATGGCCACTGGAAGCTCTGCCCACTGCCCGCCGTACCGGGTACTGGTCCGTGTGTCCGAGAGCTGCTCTGGACTGGAGAAGAAGCTGCAAAAGTATTTCCAGAGCCTGAAGAAGTCCGGGGGAGGCGAGTGCAAGGTCAATGCCGGCCTCACCGAAGGAACTTTCTGGGTAGAGTTTTTGGAAAAAGAAGGTGAGAAGGAAGGGGCTGGGGGAGCCGCTGGACAGAGGCCAGCGTGGGAGGAAAGGCGGCGGCGGGGAGACAGGGTGAACTGGGAGAGGGCACCAAAGTGGAGAACCCATCCCGAGCCAGGAGAAGGGGCACTGGGAAACAGGGCTCGGGTTAATACTAATAATAATAAAAATAATAATGGCTTGCATTTATATAAAGCCTACTACGTGTCGACCACTGTACATAACTTACAAATATTACCTCATTTAATCCTCACGAGAACCCTGTGAGGTAGGTGCTATTATTGTCCCCATTTTACAATTATGCAAGTTGAGGAGGAAGGAGATCAAGTGACTTGCTCAGCAAGACTCAGCTAGTAAGTATCTTAGGCTGGATTTGCACTCAAGTCTTTCTGACTCCAGGCCTAAAGCTCTATCCACTATGTCAGCTAAGAAAGGCAAGAACTGACTGGTTTCTCTCCCCCCATTCCTTCCCACTTCATTCCCTCCCCCCATGCCAGAGTCCATACTGTGCTGCTGGAGCAGAATAAGGCAACTTCCCGTCATTAGAAGGGCAGCAAAGGCTTTAGGGCTGGAAAGGACATTTAGCCCAGCCCTTTCATTTTAAAGATGAAAAAACTGAGGTCCCAAAAAGTAGTTAACTGGGTGGCAGAGTGGATAGAGCTTTGGACCTAGAAATCAGGAAGGCCTGATCAAAAGAAAACTCTGGACACCAATTTCAAGATATCACAAATGAAAAATACCCAAATGTATTAGTATGAGAGGGAAAAGTGAAGACAGAAAAAACTCACCTCTAACAACAAGAGAAAGGTCAGAGGAAGGATAGAACCCAAATCCTAAACTCCCACATCAAGTACCCATAAAGCAGCAGATCAAATACCAAAGGATTACAGTCAGAATCACACTGGATCTGGAAGATTCTCCCATAAATGAGAACTCTTAGACTGCAATATTTCAAAAGGCAGAAGAGATAGACTTTGCAACCAAAAATAACTTACCCTCAAAAACTGAGTATAATTCTACACAGGAAAAAAATGGACCTTTAATCAAAAAGAAAACTTTCAAGCATTTCTGATGAAAGGACCAGAGCTGAGTAGAATCTTTGAAATACAAACCGGGGGCAGGTAGACGGCACAGTGGATACAGCTCCGGCCTTGGAGTCTGGAGGATCTGAGTTCAAATCCAGCTTCAGACACATAACACTCACTAGCTGTGGGACTCTGGGCAAGTCACTTAACCTCATTGCCTAACCAAATAACAAAAACAAACAAACAAACAAAAAAGCGAAATACAGACAGAAGAGTTCAGAGGAACTTGGGTAAATTGATTTGAACAATTGGAAGGAGGTATAGGATGATGCAGTGCTAATATTCTAAGGAGGATAAACAAGACTCCTTTCAGAAGCTTAATGCCTTGGAAGAGTATCAGGGAGAAAAGTAAGAAAAACAGAGGATCTAAATGTAGATTGATTCCATTATGAATGTTCTAATAGAAGAAAGAGAAGAAAGAGTAAAAGGAATAGACTAGTATAGAAAGGCAGAAGGGAATGGAATTTATTTTTCCAAAACAAAATTTCTGATCATGAATGTGAAGGGACAAAAAGGTGGAAAAATAAGAGCAAAGGACTAGAATCTAAGGGAATGCCCATCAATTGAGCGATGACAAAACAAATTATGCCATGTGAATAAAGTGGAATACAAATTGTACTGTAAGAAATGATGAAAGAGATGATTTCAAGGAATCTGAGAAGAAACTGATAAAGAAGGAACTAAGTAGAATGAGAACACATTATTCAAGCACAGCAACAGTATAAAGAAAAAGTACTTTGAAAGACTTAAGAGCTGTGATTTATACAATGATCAGCCATGTCCCCAAAGGACATATGGTGAAGATACTATTTACCTTCTGACAGAGAGGTGATATTTTCAAGGTGCAGAAAGAGATATACATTTTTGGATATGGCCACTCTGGATTAGTTTTACTTGATAATGTCTTTTCCAAGAATTTTTCTTTCCTTTCTGTTGGTTTTTTTAGTGGGATTGGGGTTAAGAATTATGGTAAAAAAAAAAAAAAAAAAAAAAAACAACCAAAAAGCAAAACTGCCTTGCAACAATTTTTAATTACACAGAAATGAATGGAAGGAAGTTCAGAAGGTAGCAGAGATAATAAGTAAGACAATTTTGAAAGTAATGAGTGGAATTCAATATATACTGAAAAATAAAAGATATGAAACATAGCCTCAGTTTCATGTACACTCCTCTCTTTTTTGCCTTGTTTATAGGGAAGTGAACTGGTTTGGGTACTCAATTTCAAAATAAATTTTTTAAAGGAAGTATTTGAAATTCATTAGATGAAGTAAAATAATGCTAGACTTGTCATGTCCTCTGGGTCCTCTCTAACAGCACATCAAAAAGAGTTGGCTGGAATGAAGGAATGCTACTGAACGTTGAAGGGACAGTTGGGTGGCCCAGTGGACAGAACACTGGACTTGGAATCAGGAAGACTTATCTTTAGAAGTTCAAATCTGGCCTCAGACACTTACTAGCTGTGTAACTCTGGGCAAGTCACTTAACCATATTTGCCTTAATTCCTCACCTGTAAAATGAGCTGAAGAAGGAAATGGGAGATCACTTCAGTATCTTTGCCACAAAACCCCCAAATGGGGTCATGAAGATTCAGATAGGAATAAATAACAGTGAGTGTTGCTGAACCAAGAGAAAGTTAACCCCTGAGGAAGAAATGCCTGGGGGAAATAAGAGACCTGGACTTTGGTCTTGGCCTAGGTCATCTTCCATTCACCCTCACTCCTCCTTGACCAGTGGAAGACCTTTGAAAGGACAGAAGGATCTTGGTTTTCCTATCTTCCCACTGGTGTGCTAGAGGAATCTATTCCTGAATTAATCTGCATTGGGAACCAAAGACAAATTGGACATAGATTCCTGGCTTTACAAGAGATGCCAGCAGAGAGACTACATCATGCCTAAGGGGAGGGGGGCTTCTTGAGCATCTGATGGTGCTCAAGGACTTCCAGCAACCAAAATCTATGAGTTAGAGTTACCCCCTTGCCTCACATGGTTGTTTTAAGCTTGTACCTATTTCAGCTAGACTCTATGTCATTGTGGAAGAGTGGGTCACATCCTTCTAGGGCTGTCGGAAGGATATTTTGTACCAGATATTCTTACTGTGCCACTGTAGCAGATACCTCTTAAGTCTGGCTAATTACAATGATTCTCAACTGATCACCTTATGGGGAAAGACATAGATGAAGGCCATGGACTGATAGTATTAAAGATATACCCCCAGCTCCTCCTCAGCAGTACCCCTAGAACCGGGAAAGGGAAGATGCAGCCTTCCTCTAGGACCTGGGACTCATTAATGATGGAGAGAGTTTGGATAAGGTTTGTCAAAGCTTACATGGAATATCTATGTGTGTCTGGAGCAATCTCACCTATTGATAAAAATAAAAAATAAAAAATAAAAATGCAAAACAAAAATGGTCTCCAGGGAGGGATTGCTAGTCCTTGGAAAAAGATGATAGATTTCTACTGCCAGCAAAACTGTTTACTTGTTCTGTGGCATTCCTAACAGTGAAACAATTTTGTTAAATTTACGAAATACTGACTTGTTGGTAAATAAAGTAAGGCACTTATTACATAGCCCCCATCTCCCCATCAGAATTAATTTACTCAACTAAGCCTATGTTGGGCGTGTTATTCAAATCCCATCCCAGTTTGCATTGGTATCAAAAAGAATCCAGAAAAGGTTTCAGTGAGAAGCAGCATGTTACATTGAAAACAGTGTTGGCTTTGGCATCTACTGGCTCTGCCATTTACTGTGCCCCTTGGGCAAGGCACTTCCCTTCCATGGACCTCAGTTTCCTCCTCTGTAAAGTAAGTGAATTGGACTAGATGATCTCTAATGTCTCTTACAGCCTTAAATCTATAATCTTATGGAGGGCACACAAGGTTCCACCTCTGCTCCCTTTCTATTTTCTTATAACTCTTTCATGGGAGATATAGACATAGTCTAAGAGTATTAACCCCAAATGTGACCTTGGTATGGCCTCTTTTGACCCATCCTGAAAATTAAAACCTCTATTTCTCTTTCATACCCATAGCATCTTGAATTTTATTCCCTCATCCCTTCCAAAGACATGTCTCATAATCTGTTCTTCTCTTTTAATTATTTCCTATTGCAGGGCAAATTAAACAATCTCTTCCAGAGCTTCTCTGTAGAATCCTGCATCTTCCTTGTCACTGCCTTGCTGCATTCCAAGATTCAGACAGACTCTAAGATCAAGATGGGTTTGGGGGAGGGGGAGCAGCTCCTGCTAGCTCTAATCCTGCTAGCTCTAAAAGTCTAATCCCATGTTTGAGGGAGTCTTTGGTTTTCTAGTCAATTCACATATTACATTTTTGAAGGAAACTTATTCTGAAACTTTATCATTTATCTTTCTTTTTTTGTTTCTCTAAGCCAAGGAAAGAGTGATAGCAAAGAGAGACCATACTGTGGAGGTCAGTGCTACATCACATGTGAAAGTCTTCCTAGAAACAAAGGAAACCTCAGGAGAGAAGAACACTTTGGAGATAAGCCAGCTTTCCTCCCAGACTCAGTCACTCCCAAAGGAATTTCCAGATAAGAAGCATCCAGAAGAAGGAGGTGCTTCTGGATCCTCTGATTCCTTCATTCGAAAGGTAAGAGGGAAGGGAAGAGGGTGATCAGAGAGGCCTTTCCCATTCACCACACCTAAAAATGTCCTTCCACCTTTAGAGTAACATTCATATTATAAGAAATGTGTGCTAACTTACATAATTTACACAAGTTTCTCTCCTTTTCCTTCTCTCCCCTGCCCTTTGTCCTCTCTTCTCCTCTTCCTCAACCTCTTCCTCCCAATCGAGTAAGGGTGCATATTTTAGATTGTAGGTTCTCAGAGGTGGGAGATAAGAGTGAAATAATAACAAGGTGAATTTTTGGATGCATCTGTCAGTTTTGTTGAGCTATTCCCCCCCCCACTTGTTATAAGGAATAACTGTCTAAGTAGGGCAGAAGGGAGGTAGATATTGGGAAGTCAAAGTGATGTAAAATAAAAAATTTATCACTAAGTTTATTTTCAGTTTTAAAAAAAAGGTTGTAGTTACCAAAAGGGCATGGTCACAGGGCTGGGGATCAAATCTTGCCCCTAGCATTTGCTACCTCTAGGACCTTAACTTAGCTGTTCCCCAGTTTTCTCATCTATAAAATGAGAGAGCTGGGCTGGAAAACCTGCAAGGTATTTTCCAGTTCTATATTTGTGATCTTATGATCTTGTATAATAGCTTGCAGCAGGGTAATTTTTGTCATGATAAACCTGCACGAAGCTTCCAATGATCACCATAAACTCTTCCTTACCATCTGTATGCCCCCACATATGTCATAATGAATCTCAGTAGTGCCAAATGAACTGTAACCTGGAAGTGAAGAAGTCTGGTAAGTGGTTGTCATTGTTCCATCTGGCTGATTCCCTTTCATGATACCATAGGAAATCTGGCATATATAAGGCACACAGGATTGCAAACCTTAGAATTTTTCTAGCTGTAGTGAATGGCGTAAAGAACGTGGTATCAGTTCAATGGTCAAGAGTTGGCTTCAAGAGTCAAAGCCTGGCTCAGGCACTTACTGGCTGTGAGACCTCATAATACCAGTATTTACACAGCAGTTTGAAGTTTGCAAAGCACTGTATATATTATCTCATTTTATCTTCAGGACAAAACTGAGAGGTTGGTATTATTATTACTCCCATTTTACAGGTGAGAAAACTGAGGGTAAGGGAGATTGAGAGTTTTATTCAAGATCATACAGTTAAGTATCTGAGGCTGGGTTTGAACTCAGGTCTTTCTGCCTCCAATTCCTGTATTCTAGTCACTGTGCCTCAGATTCCTGAACTATAAAATGGGGATAATAATAGCACCTAGTCCACTGAGTTGCTGAGACAAATGAGATAACATATGTAAAGTGTCTTTTAAACATTAAAGTGCTAGATAAATGCTATCATCATCATCATCATCATCATTTCTCAGATGAAAGAAGCAAGGATTAGAGAGTTGAAATGATTGGTCTAAGGTATATAGCTGATTGGTAGCAGAACCTAGCTTAGTGCTTACTCTCTTGATTACCAACACCATTCCCACTTCCCCCAATCTCCACATCTTATCTACTGTGCATTATCATCAGTATAGCTATCAAGAAATGTAAGCAGAATCCACAATGAAGCACAAAGTCAAGTCAGAGTCAATGATAGGAGTTGTTAAGGCTCTAATTCTATGATGTCTAGGAATCTTAAAAAGAGCAGAACCATTAATAGCCTTGTGATTTTATTTGGTCTTTGTAAATTTCAGATATTTCTCCATGTGGAGGCCCACTTGAGCTTCAACCTTTCCAAGGAGCAAAAGGAGAAAATTATTAATCTCTGCCCAAATCTCAAAATAGAGGGAGGCCGTGATGGAGTTGAGAAAATGATTGGTGACTACGAAGATATTGAAAAAACTCATCGATTCTTAAGTGAGAGGATGTTGGAAAATGACCAAAAGGAAGATTTTCCCCACTCCACCTCAGCAAGAGCAGTGAAGAAAAGTATGCCAAATGACTGGGACAGTCCTATTCTTCCCTCAAACCCAAAACATGGAACAGAAGAGGCAGACCATATCTCAGTTCCTTTACATTTGTATGAATATTTTAAATATCTCTTTGCTGAAACTTTGAACAGAATAGAAAAAAAGCACAAAGTACATATCAAAAGTACTTTGTCATATCATGCTGGCAATGTCGGTTTAGATTTTGAGACAAGTAATCCTAGGGACAAAAAAGCAGCTCAAGAGGCTTTTACCAGAGCATTTCAGAAGGAAATACAGAATGTGACCTCTCAGGAAGTTCATTTCACAGATGATAAGCTGGCATCTGAAGTCCAAAGAACACTGACCTACATGTTTAAAAACCTCCATATGAGAACAGAAGGAAAAGTCTTAATTCTCCAGGGAGACCCAAAGGATGTTTCAGAAGTTAAAGGTTTCATTGAAGCAAACTTCTCCCACAAACAACCTGTGAAAATAATGGTTTCCCAAAACATGATGAAGAATGGACTTGAGGTCGATACTGATCACTTGCATCTTTTGTTCCAAGAAATCACAGAAATAGAGAAAAAATATGACACTGCAGCAGCAATGGTGAACAGCCCCCAAAAGGGGAAAACCCGCCTTGTATTTACACCCAAAGGCCTAGACCTCTCTGCACATGCTTATCAATATTTTATTGATGTCTATCAGATGATCTCACCACAGATTGTCAAAGAGGCAGTTATCCTAAAGCCATTAGACCAAGAGGGAAAGTTTTGGTCTGAAAAGACATTCTTTGAAGACTTTGAAAGAAAGCACCCACTTGTAAAGTTCAAGTGGAATAAAGGAGAATTGACATTGACTGGTTTTTCCAACTATCTTGCAGAGGCAATGAAATATATAAAGAGATATTTTAGTATTGAAGGTCCTGCTCAGCAGAGACCAGCTCTCTCCCTTGGAGAGAATTGGAATGAAGACCCCAAATCCACTTTGGACAAAAATGGTGATCCTTTGTCCCAGGGATTCCCTACCTGTGGGGTTTTAGAAAAAGAGGAGGAGGAAGAAAAGGAGGAATGTGTCATCTGTATGGACATTATTCACCACAAAGTAGTCCTACCAAAGTGCAAGCATGAGTTCTGTGGCCCTTGTATCAAAGAGGCCATGGAGCATAAGCCAGTGTGTCCTGTATGCCAGACTTCCTACGGTATTGTGAAAGGGAATCAGCCAGAGGGAAAAATGACTTACTCTTGTTTGAGTTATGCACTTCCTGGTTATAGTTCATGTGGCACTATTGAGATTCAGTATGACATGAGTGGAGGCATACAGACGGTAAGCAAGGGTTTGTGCTGAGTGTTAGAAGCTTTGTGCAGGTTTATCATGGCAAAAGAGAACCCAGCTATGTTTATAAAGGATGAATTTGGCATGGCTTCTCTGTTAGCAATTTTTAAGATATTTCATATATCCAGGTGAAAAATAATAGTTAGCATTTCTATTGTACTTTAAGGTTTGCAAGTACTTTACAAATAATACCTCATCTGATTCTCATAACAATCATGGGAAGTAGGTGTTACTATTATCCCCATTTTACAGACAAGGAAAATTAGACAAATAAACATTAAGAGATTTGCCCGGGCTTGCACAGCTAGTAAGTGTATGAGGCATGATTTGAGTCCAAGTCTTCTTAACTTGGTTCAGCGTTCTATTCACTGCACCACTTAGCTACCAATTCAGATGCTCAGGAGGTTCACAAATGGTATTTATGTATGTATATACACACAGCGACATACACCCACACAGACACACATACATATACACATATAATTTCCAGTACCTAGAACACGAATTAGCTGTAGAAGTGGTATGACACTGTGGACAGAGAGCCAGCCTTGGAACCAAGATGACCTAAGTTCAAGCCCAACTCTTATACATACGGGCTGTGTGATCCTAGGCAAATCACAGCACTTCTTGGTGCTCTAGGCAACTCTTTAAGATTATAATTTGCAGACAATGTGCCAGCCTGTGTTAGGAGAGAGCATTTCCTCCTTGGGTAGTTCTCTGTACCATTGAAATCTGAGACCAGCTCCTATCCCTGGATAAAGATATAGATTAATTGGCTGAGTTATTTTTGCAGATACTCTAGGGAAGAATGATATGGCAAGCAGAAATCAGTACCCACATGCAGAAGCCTGGGGCTTGAAACTTCACACCTTAAGCCTCTAACAGATCTTCAGTCCATTTTTCCCTCATGTTTTCTGAAGCTTTGCATTGGATTTCAGTATTTTGATAAGTAGGGATTTTTGTATCTTTTTTATCTCTTTCATAGTATGCTATAAATTAATAGACAACTTTACACAAAATATTTCTGGGATGCATCCTGCTGCTGGCATCAAGACTAGAAGCTGCTTCTCCCTAGTTTTCAGCTTCCTGCTTTCCACATTCTTGAAGGTTGCTCAGATCTCTAACTGCCCCTTCCTCAAATAGTGCTCAAGAGAGTAAGGAAAGTAATGATATGAAAAATCCAACTCTAATGTTGTATTAGATATAAGTTGGAGTGAATTCAGGCCTTGACGTGGAGGTATGGGGACAGGGATATGTTGAAAAGGGAAGAATAGATAGGATATGAGATTTCATTTCAACAAATATGAATGAATTAATGAAGAAGTATTTATTAAGCATTTACTGTATGTCAAGAAATGTGCTAAATTCATTTATTTAGTACTTTCTTTTCATAAAAATAGGACAAGACAAAGACTTTTAACTTATACCCCCCCCCCCATAAGGACAAAGTATAGTATGGGCAAAGAAGGAAAGAAGGTGTCAATTCCCTTTCAAATAGTCTAATGTTTGATTTCCCTATTTCAAGTCTCTCTACTCTAGTCAGTCCTCCATCGGCTACCAAATTGATAGTCCTAAGAAGCATGTCATTTCATCTCCTTACTCAGTAAATTCCCAGTAATTCTCATTTTCCTCTGGGATAAAATATAAAATCCTCTGTTTGTACTTACAACCTCCCTTTTCTCCCTTTTTAGTCATCTTTCATTTTACTATTCCCCACAAACGCTTCAGTTCAGCTCCACTCACCTCCTTGCTATTCCTAGCACATAACACTTCATCTCTCACCTTCCCAAATTTTCACTGGCTATCCCCAATATCTAGAATGCTGTCCCTCCTAGTTAGTCTCAGCTCCTGGCTTTCCTTGCTTCCTTCAAGTCTCAGATAAAATGCCACTTTCTTCAAGAAGCCTTTCCCTGTCTCCCTCAATGCTAGTGACTTCCCTTTGAAATTATCTCCAATTTACCCTTGTATGTCTTGTATACTCCTAGTTGTATGCATATGATGTCTCCACCATTAGAATTGAAGCTCCTTGTGGGCAAGAATTGTTTTTACCTTTCTTTGCACCCTAGGAATAATGCCTGTCTTATAGCAAATTCTTGATAAATCTTGTCCATTTGACTTGTTATGACTACCACCTGGCCTTAAGAGAAGCTTCTGAAAAGAAAAATAAGCAATGGTCAGTAGCCTAATGAATAAATACCTTTGGAATGGCTTACATTTCTCTTCTATCTCACTTGAGAACTCTCACTTTGAAAGCAGTCAGTGGAGACATTTCTTGCTTCCCAACCAACACTATAGACTGATTAACCATACTCTGCCCCAGGACCTTCTTATGAACAGAAATGACCTCTTTGGTTAACTGAATGAGCTTTAACTGGAGCTAGGTGAAATGGAGAAAATAAGCTTGTGAAAATGGGAATGGGAGAAGATGGAGGGGGTCCCACTAATCCTTCTGGTGAAACAGGTCTGATTTGCAGGAAATGGAACCTGACTCTCAGCCTGGGGCAGATCTCTGAACAACTAAGTTGTGTGTTGCACTACACCATAATGTCTCTTATCTTTTCTCTCTTCCCACCTTCACAAATCACTTTGGACTGAGGAAATGGGATCCTCTCCCATTTTTCTGACAAGGAAAATGAAGCCCAGAAGGGTAATGTTATTTATCCTAAGGCCCCATCCACTAGGATTCCTCAGAGGGAGACTGGGCAATATTCATTTGGGATGAAAACATGAGTTGACTCCAGAAAGTTTCAGTTTCATTTGTTCATTCATGAGGAAATCAGCCTTCAAATTTGATGAGTCCTGATGAAATCTCTCCTTTGTCACCTATGACCTATGGAGCATGCACTGAGAAAATATTTAATTTGTTAGGTTCCTTTGGACAGAAAATGTTTGTTTATTTATAAATCCTCCATTTTCTTGCACTATGCTCTGTACACAGCAGGCATTTGGTAAGTGTTTGTTAAATTGAATTGAATTTTACAGGTTTTTGTGCCATAGCAAGGACTTTCACAATGAAGAACTACCTTAAAGCAAAATGAGTAGTGGAGAGTCAGTCTCTGAGTAAGAAAGACCTGGTTCAAACCCTGCTTCTGACACCAACTGTGTGACCCTGGCAAGTCACAACCCCTTGGTGGCCTGGGCATCTTTTAAAGACAATAATCAGAGCAGGGAGCCTGCAGATCTTCTCTTGTACAGTTGGTTTCCACCCCTCCCCCACACCACCACCATTGGGATAATACATTAGTGAAGCCACAAACCTATTACTAGACAAAACAAAACATCATGTCTTTTTCAGAAACGATATTCCTTTGTAAAGAAGTTTATAGATTTACATATTTTTTCTTCTTCTTCTTGATGTTTGCTTGACTTCTCCATACAGGGAAATCATCCCAACCCAGGAAAACAATATGAAGGAACAAGACGACTGGCATACTTGCCAAATAATGAAGAAGGACAGCAAGTTTTGAGTCTCCTCCAAAGAGCTTTTGAGCAAAAGTTGATTTTCACAATAGGACAGTCTCGGACAACAGGACGAATAGATGTGATCACATGGAATGATATACACCACAAAACTCATCAAGATGGTGGCCCAGAAAAGTAAGGAATATTTCCTTTTTTTAAAAACAATTTAAGATTTATTGATTTTCTTTGTTTTCCCATGATATTCACTCACCCTATGTCCTCTCTCACAAACAAACCTTCTCTTGAACAAAAATTTCAAAGAACCTTAAATTTCAGGAAGTCCAACCTACACATTGACCAGATCTGATAGCATATCCAACATGTCCTGCTCAAATCACCCCTCAATCTCTCCAGAAAATAGAAGTAGGTATATTTTCTCATCTCTTCTTTGGATTTTTCTTGTCAATTCATTATAATTAATGAATATAATTAATTATGCTGCAAATTATACAGAAATTTATACAGAAAATTTGCTTTCATTTTATTGGGTTTTTTTCTGTTTCCATTGTTGCAGTCATTTTGTATATTCTTTTCATATTCTGCTTATTATAATCTGCAACACTCCATACACATACCCCCATATTTATCTGAATTCCTCACATGTCCTTTTTTCTTACAGGGTAATAATATTTCATTCCAGTTGGAGACATTTCCTTTTGCATTCCACTGGTTTCTAAAGCAAATGTAGAAATTGCAACACTTGTCAGGATGGTGGTCTGTGGTAGAAACCATTACTTGCCACAGTAGGATTGGGGACTATAGTAGTGTCTTTTCCAAGACAAAAGTATAATCTCAGAGAGATCTTTCAGAGACAAATACAATAAAAACAATGATTTCATACATTATAGAATCAGAGAAAGTGCCACCTATTTCTTTGAAAGACCACTGTGATCAGATACAAACAGTAGTATTAAATGGGTCCATGTTACTATGGGAGATGCATTTGTGGCATGTCATGGGGATGTATCCCTGGTTCTGTCCTCTTTAATATTTTTACCAAGGAATGGGATAAAGGAATAGAAGACATGGTTACCAGATTTTTAGATGACACAAAGCTCAGAGAGATAATTAATATGTGAGATGACAGTGGCAGCATGGAACAGTGGCCCTACCTTTGGAGTCAGGGGATCTGGCTTCAAAACCTACCTCTATCAATTGCTACCTCTGTTTCCTTGGGCAAGTCACTTATGCTCCCTAGGCTTTAGTTTCCTCTCTTGAAAATTGAAAAGAATGGACTAGATGCTTTACAAAGTCTCTTTCTTCTCTTCATTTGTGACCCTATAGTAGGATCCCAAATCTTAATGTGGGTCAAATATTTGTAAGGGTGAAATTCAGTAGGCATAAATGTAGTCTTAATTTGGTTCCAAAAAATTAACTTCAGAAATACAAGATGAGATGATGTATGCCTGGAAAAATATATGCAATGACTTAAATGGAAATGTGCTTTGTGTGATTATACATGTATAACCTATGTCAAATTGTTTACCTTCTCAATGGGGTTGGGAAGGGTGGGAGGGAGAAAATTCAGAACTTAAAATTTGAAAAAAAGAATTTAAAATTTTTTATGTATAATTGGGAAAAAATCAAAATATTGAATTAAATAAAAGAAAGGATATATAAGACCAATATCAGTCAGTAATGAAATACTGTAGCCAGGAAATCTAATACAGTCTTAGACTGACTACATTAAGAGAGGCATAGTGTCCAAGACAGAAGAGAGAAGAGTGGCTATATAGTGACCTCTTCAGACTATTTCTGGTGTATTGCTTTAATTCTGGGTACCTCATTTTTGGAAGGGTATGGATAATCTATAGGGCATTCAAGGAGGGCAATGAGGTTGATTAAAAGCCTTCAGGTTGTTGCCATATGTGGATCATTTGAAAGAAAAAGAGATTCTTTACCTAAAGAAAAGAGGGTGGGGGAGGAAGGATGAGATAGCTGTCTTCAGGTATTTGAAGGATTATCATTTAAAAAGGGAGTTTCTGATGCTCAAAATCTTTATCCCTTTGCAGCTTTGGTTACCCCGATCCCAACTATCTGGAAAGAGTCAAGCTGGAACTGAAGGCAAAAGGGATTGAGTAAGAGTGCTGGCTTCAAGGATGCCTTGAGAGCTGGGCTTGCAAAAGCTGCAGCTATGGAAAAGAATCCAAGCAATCATTAAAATATGTGCATATAGGCACCATTTAGAGAAAAAGAAAAGAATTTGAGAAGAAATCAGTTTGTTTAGGGGTGAGTGGGATGAACTGCTATGTGCTAACCCATCTAATTTCTTAGAGATTTTATTTTTTATTAGACAAACTAAGAGCCTGGTAGGAATGTAAATGTTGCTCTAGTGAGAACCCAAAGTGTTTCTCTTGGTACTTTCCTGCTTGTCTCCATTTTGCTTTCACCAGGGATACTGGAGTTAAGGAATCTTCCATTGTACCACTTGCACAAGGTGACAACTGCCCTTCAGGTACACTCACATTGTTTGTGGTCAGTTGTTGGTGGCCTCAAACTCACTGGAGCTAGCTCCCTTGTAACTGGAATGGTTGCCAGAAACATTAAAAGATTGGAAGACACTTTGAAGCAAATTATAGTCTCCCAATACTTGTATGAGTCCTTCACTTCAGAAAGACACTATCCATCTATGGGGCTCTGGCAAATTTAATGCAAATTGAGGAGTGGGGAAGGATATTTCTCTCTTCACTAAAGTCCAGTGACTTCCAATCACTTTCAGGAACAAATCTACAGGCCTCTGTTTGGCATTCAAAACCCTTCATACCCTTGCCGTCACTTTACTTCCCTACTATATCCTCTGTGATTCAGTGATACTGGCTTCCTTGATGTGCCTTGCACAAAAAACTCCATCTCACTTGATTGTGCATTTTCACCAGATGATCCCCCCATGCCTGCAGTTCTTTCCCTTTCACCTACCAGCTTCCCTGACTTCTTTCAATTCCTAACTAAAATCCCACTTTCTACATGAAACCTTTCCCAAATCCCCTTACTGCTAGTGCCTTTCCTCTGTAGATTATCCCCAATTTATCATGTATGTAACTTGTTTGTACATAGTGTTTGCATATTTCTTCCCCATTAGACTATTAGCCAGTTGAGAGCAGAGAGTATATTTTGCCTTCTTTTGTATCCCCAGCACTTAGCACAGTGCCTATCACATAGTAGGCACTTAATAAATACTTGCTGACTGACTGACTATGGATGGGCAGGCTCATTGACTTGGGAATCAGAGTGTCCAGATTAATAAGCAACTGGCATTGGTTTGTGTCCTGTCCTGGTTCTCCGCATTCTTAGCTCACCTTTTGGGGTGCACCTTGTGGTAATTGCTCTGTTTATCTAGCTTAGATGTGGGGAACCTGCAGCCTGAAGGCCACATGTGGCCTTCTAGTCCTTGAGTATGGCCTTTTGACTAAGTCCAAGTTTTACAGAACAAATCCTTTTATTAAGGGGATTTGTTCTGTGAAGTTTGGATTCAGTTAAAGGGCTGCCCTTGAGGACCTAGAGAGCCACATGTGGCCTCGAGGCCACAGGTTCCTCACTCCTGACTAGCTTTAGTGAGACCACAGTCACACCCAAATATTTTCTGACTTTTAACTTCCACAATTTTCCATTTTTTCTGCTCAATTTCCCATTATTCTAGGTGCCTCCTCAAAAGTGTAGTTGTAGAGCAATGGATAACCTGCTCATTCCTCTCTGAATGAGTACAACTTTTCTATTTGCTACAAAAACAAAGCAAAAATATCCATTAGGAGCTTAAATACTGGATCCTGTGGCATTGCTTGGAAAATGAAAGATAACCTATGGTGAAGAGGGGTTCCCTTCTCAATTAGAAAGAGATTATAGCTGATAGTGCATATTGCTGCAGGTCAAAAGGTTAATGATCTTTAGTTGTTTCTTCTCTAAATAATTAACTCATTTGGATCTGGTTGTGCTATGTTAGGAGAAACATGATTTAATGGCTGTATCAGATGCTTCTAATAAAGTAAAAACTGTAATGATCAGACTGCTGTCTTGTTTTTCAAATAGGGATTGGTTTTATTTGTTGTATTTCTATCCCCAGTCACTCTAAAGACCAGTGATGGAGAAGGCAAAAGAGAGCAAAGCTGCTGATTAGGAACCTCTTACCACACCAACCATCATTCTCACTGACCTGTTTTTAAAAACCATTTCTGGGGGATATAGAAGTGTTAAGATTAATTGGAATGGGAGGATAAGGGAGGCATCCTTGGGAGAATTGGAGAGGGATCTTTAGAGGGGAGGGTAAGGGAATAGGTCAAAGGGGAATATAAAAGGATGTTTAGATTTATGGGAATGAGAGGATAAGGGAGGGATCATTGGAAGGGGGAGTAGGTGAAGTAATAGGATGGCTAGGTAGTGAGTAGAAGTAAAGTAGAGGAGTGAGGAGGGTTAGGAAATAAGAGATAGACACAAACAGAAAAACAAAGACTAGGAGTAGAATCTGTTAGTGAATGTATGTACATATGTATATGTGTGTATGTATATATAATTTGTGTATGTATATATATATGTCTATATGTAACAGGGGTGGGGGGGATGGGGGAAAAAAGAACAAAGTAAAAAGTGTACAGCAGAGAACAAAAGAAAACCTACAAGGAAGCAAAGAAAAGATGGACAACTCTCAACACAACATGTAGTATTTAATATATAGACTTTATTGAAATAGAAATTTGTTGCTATATATTTTGAATCCACTCTTGTGTTCTGCTGTGCACATGACATTTTTTCCTTTTCTTATTTTATATTTAAATTTATATGTTTCTTTTTCTTTTCTTACTATGCATTTAAGTTTTAATTAAAAAAATAATAAAATCAATTCTGATTGATTGGCATTTCCTCTGCCCAAGGGTCAGCAAACTTCTGTCTGTCCAAATTCCTAGGATGGTGTCACCATTTGTCAAATGAAAACCCTTTTCCTATGCTTTTTTATAGTCTCATCTCCAACTCATTCAATTTTACCTATAAATGTTCCCTGTCACCCTCTATACTCCCCTTCAACTGTATCCTTTGGAACCCCCATTTTATGATTTTCAGATTCCTATTTGTCCAAAAATCTCTGCCTCCACGTTCTTTTTTATATTCTGGAACTCCCAGAGCTCTGGGATTCACCTTATCTCTGGTAACTCTTTTCAATATTGGCTGCCTCTTCCTTCATGGTCAGCCAGGATGAAGAGTTGGCATACTCCTTGCTGCTGAGTGATGTTTCTAGATCATCTCTGCACTCAGTAACTTTGCTGTATTTAACCCTGTCCAGATTGCTGTTGTTGCCATATGCTGGCCTACTGCTTACCAATCTTTCCTTCATTTTTATTGATTTCATTTATATTAATAATACCTTCATTTCTGAATATATCCCCCTCTCCTCCACGTCCCAGTCAGTGATAACTCATATCAGTTAAAAAAGGAAGAAGAAAAAAAGGATGTCAGCAAAAGTAACCAAAACATCAACAGAGTCTGAGAGTATGTATTGTGTTCCACACCTAAAGTCTGAAAAGAAGGGAGGGAATTGCACTTTCTCAGTTTTTCTTTAAGAATAACAAAAACTGGGGTGCAGCTAGGCAGTGCAGTGGATAGAGCACTGACCCTGGATTCAGGAGGGCCTGAGTTCAAATCCGGCCTCAGACACATAACACTTACTAGCTGTGTGACCCTGGGCAAGTCACTTAACCCCATTGCCTAGCCCAAAAAAAAAGAATAACAAAAACTACTAATCACTGTATTCTATTACATAGATTCAAGTCTGCAGAACCACTGTTACTGAATTTATCATTAATCTATAGCCAAGCCATTATGGCTAGGAGAGTGAGAAGACTGAACTGGCATAGGCCTGTACAAAGTCAGGTATTTGTGCTGAATCAGTAAGAGTGATTCTATTTAGAACTTTAAACTTTGAGTGGTGGTTTAATGGATAGAGCACTGGGCCTAGAGGAATATCTGAGCTCAAATCTGGCTACAGACACTAGCTGTGTGACCCTGGGCAAATCACTTAACCTCTGTTTGCCTTAATCCACTGGAAAAGGAAATGGCAAACCACTTCAGTGACTTTGCCAGGAAAACCCCATGGACAGTATTGTCCACAGGGTTATGAAGAGTCAGACAGGATTGAACAACATGGCAGACGGCAAACATGCATGCTCCCCAATCCTCTCTCCCTATAATTATATGTATCAATCAAAATACTTAGGGAGGAGATGAGGCAACACTAACCCCATCTCCTCATTGAAATGTATGCCTATCAAGATTATCTTTTCCTTATATGGAAATTGTTTAATCCTATATATCAGAGCAGTTTACATTTGAATTCCCCATCATACCTACAATAAATTCCTTTGGTCTTGATTTTCCTGTTTGTCTCAAACAAAGATTTCTATGAGGGAAAATAGGTACATTAATGAATTCTTGGGGGAGAACTGAATTGTTCCAGCCATTCTGGAGAACAATCTGAAACTATACCTAATGGGCTATAAAACCATGCATACCCTTTGATCCAGCAATACCACCAAAGAGATAAAAAAGAGAAAAAGACTTATTTGTATAAACATATTTATAGCAGCTTTTTTCTTGATGGCAAAGACTTGGAAACTGATGCTCATGAATTGGGAATGGCTAAATAAGTTGTGGCATAGGATTGTGATGGGTTACTGTTGTAATGTAAAAAATGATGAAGGGGGTAGTTTCAGAAAAACAGCACCAGATTTTTATGAATTGATGCAAAGTGAAGTGAGAAGAACCTAGAGATCCCTGTGCACAGCAATAGCAATATTGTAGTGATGATCAGTCATGAAAGACTTGGCTCATGATAAAAAAAAAAAAAAACAATGCTATCCACCTCCAGAGAAAGAACTGAAGAATTGAGTACAAATTAAAGTATCATTTTTTTCTTCCTTTTTTTGCTTTGTTTTGCAATGTGGCTAATATGGAAATATGTTTTGCAAGATTTCACATGTACTGTATAGTTGGTGTCATATTGTTTGCCTTCTCAATGGGTGGGGGAACGGTGAGAGAGAATCTGGAACTCAAAATTTAAAAAGGAAAGAATGCTTAAAATAAACTTTATCCTCTCCCATATCTATCATTTTCCATTTTTGCCAACCTACCCAATATGATGGGTATGAGGTGGTATCTCAGAGTTGTTTTAATTTGCATTTCTCTAATTATTAGTGATTTAGAGAATTTTTCACATGACCATTGATGATAGCGTAGATTTTTTTTCCCTCTGAAAACTACCTATTTGTGTTCTTTGATCATTTAGAAATTGAAGAATGCCTCTTATTGTAAATTTGACTCAGTTTCTTTTATATCTTAGAAATGGGACCTTGCTGCAAAGATTTTTTTCTCAGTTTTCTTCTAATTTTAGCCACATTGGGATTTTTTTGTGCAAAATCTTTTTAATTTTATGTAATCAAAATTGTCTATTATACCTTCACTAAAACTTTCTATCTCTTGTTTGGCCACAAACTTTTCCATTTATACCCTTACTCCATTTCAAAGGAAAGTCTTTGTTTTTGCTTCTCCTCTTTTCCTAAAGGGAAAAGTCCGTGGGGAAAGATTTAGGCTAGAGAAATAGCATTTCTTAATTTTTCTAGGGAAACAAAAAAATGTGGTTTGTAAATTTGCTTCCTTGTGTAGAAAGAGTAACTCACATCTTTGACACTGCAAGATGGCTGAAGACTTGTCACCATGCTGCTCTTTCTAGGTCTGCTGCCTGCTGGGTGCTCTACTGGAACACACCAGTCCATACTGAACTTGTGTTAATGGCTGCTTCTATAGTCTACCTTAAGCTGTTCCTGGGCTAACAGCTGTCCAGGTGACTTTTGCTGGTGCAGTACTCTACTGGTCTTGTGGTTCCTCTGGTGGTCCTATGTCACCCCTGATTGTCCCAATGCTCCAGTCATCCCTGAGTTTTAACTGAGTGATGTTCTGCGAACTGCTTAGTAAGTAGTCTCTATTGGGCATTTCTCTCTGGTACTAACTTCTGCT